TTTAACTGGACTGATGGTTACCAATTCACTTTGTACCATCTGTTTCAATGGTTAGAATCCTACATTAATGTTTCTTTCTTCATAGCTAAAATTGCACTGATACATGACACTGTAAACTGTCAACACAGAATATTCATGACATGGTGAGAGCCACAAGTTGTTGGGTGAGGTGGTGAAATTGGGTTTAACGTACAATTTGTTGGGCATACCTCACACGTTAATATAATATGACTTGACATACTGTTAACAGTGTTAAATCCATCTCACACACCCACCGACTCCTGTATCAGGTGAGCTACAGTGCTGTGGCACTATTTTGTTTGTTTGTTAGTTTGTTGTATTACGCTGCACTCAGCAATATTCCAGCTATATGATGGCGGTCTGTAAATAATCAAGTCTTGACCAGACAATCCACTGCCTCGATCCAGGCAATTGGGATACGATGACATGCATCAACAAAGTCAGCGAGTCTGACCACCCGATCCTGTTAGTTGCCTCTAACAACAAGCATAGTCGCCTTTCAGGGTAATCATGGGTTGTTGAAGACCTATTCCATCCCAGATCTTCACGGGTACACTATTTTATTAAAATGTATCATATCTGTAATGATTGAACTTTCATACTTGAAATGAAACACACTGCTGCATTAAAACTATGTGCAATGAATGATTCAATATGCATGTGCTGTAATTACCCTGAGGGAAATCAATCTTATATCTGTGAGTGGCAGTTAATTTCCTCGGAGATGCCCAGATGATCCATAACATTATTGAATTTCTCTTCATCTGTTGATGATTAATTGAATTATGCAGTTTCCGAAATAAATATGAATTATTGAAAAAATATACATACTTCTGTACTCATGTAGGCCACAGTGAAAAATTAAAGGACCTTTTCAATGCATTATTCACTAAATTTGCAGTAATTGAACTTTTTTATGACGCTATGCCATTAAGTGGGATGCTTTTGTGGAGTGGGATACTTGCTTTAATCCTGTGGGAATTTATGTTTTTGGTTTTGTGTTTCATTTGTAAATCAACCCACTGTTGGTACCAGGCCGTTAGTCATTACCGGTATGTATCACTACTGCTAAGACCCGACCCTTTATATTTTTGACCGCTTCTGTGGTCTAGAGGAAGGGCACCTGCCTGGAGAGTTGCAAGTTTGCATCATACCTAAAGACGTTATATAGAGGATATTTAATGTATTTTCTCAAATACCACTTTTATCTCATCTCGTGAAGTGGGGAGAGTCTAATATTTTCACGAGTGACGCAGTACGCATTGAATTTTCTATTTATTATATACGTTTTATTTTTATAACTTGCAATTTATATATTTTTTCGAAAACAGTGTCCGATAAATTACTAAGTTCTCCCTGTCGCCCCTTTACCACTGCCATATAAAGGGGGTTTGTGAAAAGAATATAGTTCGGGAATAAAACTAGGCCTGTTAATATATGTTATGCGAAATATATTATTTCATATCGAGTATTAAGTTCCGTGGACATTTTTGTTTGTCATAATTAAACATTCCTGTTTAAAATGAAAACAGAAATCATTTTCAAACAGCGATTATTTTATTGGCGTACATAAACAGTTAGTACTGTGCCCATGTCGAACGATCAGCTGAGCGCTCTCCAGGCTTACAAAATCCGCCAAATTTGATCAAATTTTCTCACAGATGAGTATGAAAGTCGACATAAACACATTTATAGAACCCCGAACATTTTAACTGAAACATTGTTGCTTGCTGTCATGAATTAAATTAGGAAAGTTCAATTCTCGGAAAATTCAAGCGGGCGCTTCTCACCTCGGCGGTACGTCTTGCTGTCGCCAGTTGTGCGTAATGTCTGGCGAAGCATGTCCCCGCGCAAGAGTGATATTAACATTGCCATAGATATTATTTCCAGACATCAGACTCGTCAAAAAGTTCCTGTGGTCAGTTGAAGAGAAGTTATGCACCTGCGGTTGAGACTGAGTACAGTCGGCATCTGAGGCAGGTCGACTGACCGTGCAGATGGGTCCGGCTTGGTGTGTGTTAATGTTTTGATTCAGGAGAAAGTAGTTCCGGCACCTTGTTCAACCTTGTCACTAGTTACTGATAACTTTATCTATCGTCACTGATAAATTCCAGTATTTCATTCATATGTATATAATAAGGATGGTACTTGTTGTTACCCTGCCTGGCGCTTGGCATTAAGGGGCTAAAACAAGGACTGGTTGGCTCGGAATCAGTTTACTTTGTCTGAGTGGTGTATGCATGTAAAACTGCGGCATGGTATCTCAGTGGGCTAGCACTACGAAATCGGCTTTAATCCAACTAGTACAAGCAGCCACACACACACACCTACGTGCACATTGCTATATAAGTGCAACAGTCTTCGATGCAACGTTGAACCCCATTTCACCTTCACCACACCTTTCTTTCTTGGTTACATATTATTTGGGGAAATATCCTGGTTGCAGCCTTCAAAATTTCTCTAGTCAGCTCACCTAGAGTTTTTGACTCCCTCTTCCAAAAACCTGTATTTGTTCTTGAGCTACACATGGATGTTACAGGGGTCGGAAGGACCATTATGTATTCTAAGGCTTGATTTGTCCTTGTCATTCATATACAGTGCATTGTCCTGTGCCATGACAGAATATATATATATATTTTAGGCATGTCTAGATCAAACTTGACCATGTCTCGTTTCCAAGATGATGATGATGATGATGATGATGATGATGATGAGGTGTTGTCTAAAATATCGTGGTGTCTGACAGCTACTTCTGTTGGTTCCCCTTGCCAAGTTGACATGACTATGGAATCAAGGAAACTAGACTTGGTTTAGTTTGATCTATACTTGCCTTGGCTTTTAGTAAAAAAATAAATATATATTTATGTTCCACAGTCATGGCACAGGACATGGTGCAGGAATATAAAGCAGAAGAAAGGTTTTTTTGAAAATATAAATTACAGTTATTTAAAAAAAAAATGTTTTCATGGACTAAGTGTTAGTCTAACCAGTGTAATAGCTGATTGTTATTTACAGTGGAGGGAATAATGTTTCTAAGACATCAGTACTTGATCATAAACCAGTGAGTGTACTTCAGTTCACAGAATGCCTGCTTGGTGTGAGATTTTATGAAACTTCATTCTGTTTTGATCATAGATAATCCATCCAATTTTGCCTAGCTTATAAGGACATTTTCCAGAACTCTTCATATTTCTTAATATCTGATTGATCTTGACAGAGTGGTAAAATTTCAAGGCCACTGGTTATAGGTCAAGGTCAGGATCATCAAACCGGTGATACATTGTATATATGTTTCCTACAATCATGGCTTCGAGAAATCCCTCACCATGGTTTAAAAATCACTGGGCCCATGACAACTGGCATCCCAGATATTGTCTGGCAGCTTCATAATCTCTGCTGATCTCTTCATGATCGGGCGGTCAGGCTTGCTGACTTAGTTGATGCATGTCATCGTATCTCAATTGGATGGATCGATGCTCATGATATCAATCACTGGCTGGTCCAGACTCGATTATTTACAGACCGCCGTCATATAGTTGGAATATTGCCAAGTGCGGCGTTAAACAACAAACAAACAAACAAACAAACAAACAGACTGGGTATATTTATGTGACCAAACATGAGGTAAGGGACCTTACTGGTGAAAAACACATTTTGACTTCTTATTATGTTTTAAAACTACAAATCAAATCCAAATTCTGAATCAAATTAGTTTCTGACAGTCTTTAAAGTTGGAACTATCTCATACTATCTCACCCTAATGAAATGGTCCTGAGGAGGTTGTAACCAAGGACTTGGTGTGAGATATAAAACACACATAAAACCAGCTTGAATAACATAATGATTCAAATATTTGGTGGTGGTTGTAGACTAGCCTGATTATCATATCTCATGGCATGAGAGTGTGTTTTACAACCACTGTTAAAAATCCTCATTTTTGCTATTGTACATCTGTTTTATTCATGGATTTCACAAGTAGTGTAGGAGGTAGCCATTTCTCTTGGTGCTGGTCTCTCGTGTTGGAAGCTGGTTTCTTTTCTCCACATTGAACACGATGTGCCCAAAGTAGTGCCGCCAATACAGAACTGTGCCATACGTACCAAAATACATACCATAGCCTAATGCTAATCCTGTCCCATAAAATGCAAATAATCGTAAATGTTTTATCCATTTCAACTGCCGGTAATGTAGATATGAGGGTACCTGTTTCTCAACCAGTGGGAATATCTTGGTAATCCATTATTCAGCCAGTTACACAGATATCTGGGTACCTGTATCCTGCCCAGATGTGCAGATTAATATCTTGGTAATCCATTATTCAACCATTTGTTCTAATATCTGGATTCTTGTTTCCCACTCATTTGGGCAGATAGATATCTCGGTAACCCATTATTCAGCCTGTTTCACAGATATCTATCTGGCTATATAGATAGTCAAAGGAGTTGAGGAACAAGAACAGTATGCAATGCTTGTGTTACGCGGCGACTAAAGGACCTCGAGGATCCAGCATTGTGAAGTAGCTGATTGTGTGTCATGGTGACCTTGATGGCATTGATTGTGTTCATGCTTTCAGTCACTGGTTTGTCTGGCCCAGACCTGGAGTATTGCTGAGTGCAGCATTTAACAACATTCAATTATTCATTTTTAATTTTTTATATCAATAACCACAGTGAGAAAATTCATGTCACTTTTCGTTCTGAATGATTGTTTAGGTCCCTTGGGCATGCCAGAAACCTATGACAATGGGTTTGAATCCCAGTTTATCTCGATTATGTTTCTAGGTTTGTCAGCACCATACCCATGCTTGTGGGTTTCACCAAAGTTGTAAACGCCTGAGAACTGCATCACTTCGGGCTTTCCTCCCACATTAAGCTGACACGCCGTGATATAACTGTAATACTGTTAAAAGTGGCGTTAAACCCAACTCACTCACTCACTCTGACTGATTGTACACCTAAACAACAAGAAGGCAATGGAGAGTTGGTTTCATGTTTAATTACTATTAACAATTATTTACAAATATGATGGTGAACATTGAAAATATGGCTTAACAAATACAATCAAATGTGAAAGTTGTTCTTTGTTTTTTTTGTACATATATTTACAGTGTATTAACATCTTTGTCATATGTACATATTCATATTTCAACCAGCACTTCTTCCGTTCTTTGTGATGCTCTAATGTTTACCGAAATGACATGACTAACATTCTTAAACAACAATGTAAAAACACACACCAAAAACACACAGTTATTTGCCAATTGCTAATGAATAAACTTGAAGATTGGTAAATCATTGGAATAGTAACGATACATCATGTAATCCATCTGATTATTTAGAAGGTATTGCTACATGCAATAACACAAGAATTCCAAAGCATTCAATCAATTCCTAGGGAATAACAATTCTGAACATATTATACTTTTTTATGACTCTAATATTGGGCAGTATCTGAAAAGATTTTTTCGACAAAACTGAAAATGAAATCTTGATTTCATAGCACATAGAGACTCAAGATGCATTTATATGTGAATAGTGAATCAAGCAAAGTTTTGAGAATCTGCTTTTACCTTACAATCATTTTGAATGAAATGTGAACCTGTTTGATGGGTGTTATAGAGGAGAGGGTATTGATGCACACCTGAATGACAGGTGAGGGAATATTACCAGCACACCTAAATGATAGGTGAGGGAATATTACCAGCACACCTTAATGATAGGTGAGGGAATATTACCAGCACACCTGAATGACAGGTGAGGGAATATTACCAGCACACCTGAATGACAGGTGAGGGAATATTACCAGCACACCTTAATGACAGGTGAGGGAATATTACCAGCACACCTGAATGACAGGTGAGGGAATATTACCAGCACACCTGAATGACAGGTGAGGGAATATTACCAGCACACCTGAATGACAGGTGAGGGAATATTACCAGCACACCTGAATGACAGGTGAGGGAATATTACCAGCACACCTGAATGACAGGTGAGGGAATATTACCAGCACACCTGAATGACAGGTGAGGGAATATTACCAGCACATCTGAATGACAGGTGAGGGAATATTACCAGCACACCTGAATGACAGGTGAGGGAATATTACCAGCACACCTGAATGACAGGTGAGGGAATATTACCAGCACACCTGAATGACAGGGGAGGGAATATTACCAGCACACCTTAATGACAGGTGAGGGAATATTACCAGCACACCTTAATGACAGGTGAGGGAATATTACCAGCACACCTTAATGACAGGTGAGGGAATATTACCAGCACACCATAATGGCAGGTGAAGGAATATTACCAGCACACCTTAATGACAGGTGAGGGAATATTACCAGCACACCTGAATGACAGGTGAGGGAATATTACCAGCACACCTGAATGACAGGGGAGGGAATATTACCAGCACACCATAATGGCAGGTGAGGAAATATTACCACCACACCTGAATGACAGGTGAGGGAATATTACCAGCACACCTGAATGACAGGTGAGGGAATATTACCAGCACACCTGAATGACAGGGGAGGGAATATTACCAGCACACCTTAATGACAGGTGAGGGAATATTACCAGCACACCTTAATGACAGGTGAGGGAATATTACCAGCACACCTTAATGACAGGTGAGGGAATATTACCAGCACACCATAATGGCAGGTGAAGGAATATTACCAGCACACCTTAATGACAGGTGAGGGAATATTACCAGCACACCTGAATGACAGGTGAGGGAATATTACCAGCACACCTGAATGACAGGGGAGGGAATATTACCAGCACACCATAATGGCAGGTGAGGAAATATTACCACCACACCTGAATGACAAGTGAGGGAATATTACCAGCACACCTGAATGACAAGTGAGGGAATATTACTAGCACACCTTAATGACAGGTGAGGGAAAATTACCAGCACACCTGAATGACAGGTGAGGGAATATTACCAGCACACCTGAATGACAAGTGAGGGAATATTACCAGCACACCTGAATGACAGGTGAGGGAATATTACCAGCACACCTGAATGACAGGTGAGGGAATATTACCAGCACACCTGAATGACAAGTGAGGGAATATTACCAGCACACCTGAATGACAAGTGAGGGAATATTACCAGCACACCTTAATGACGGGATGGAATATTACCAGCACACCTGAATGACAGGTGAGGGAATATTATCAGCACACCTGAATGACAGGGGAGGGAATATTACCAGCACACCTGAATGACAGATGAGGGAATATTACCAGCACACCATAATGACAGGTGAGGGAATATTACCAGCACACCTGAATGACAGGTGAGGGAATATTACCAGCACACCTGAATGACAGGTGAGGGAATATTACCAGCACACCTGAATGGCAGGTGAGGGAATATTACAAGCACACCTTAATGACAGGCGAGGGAGTATTACCAGCACACCTTAATGACAGGGGATGGAATATTACCAAAACACCTGAATGACAAAATTTGACAGTGTTAGATGTGCATTCTGATTGTGAGAGAGACTGAATATGTAAGGTATGTTATATGATAGTTGAGCTGTGCATGAGCTGAGAGGGGGGTCTTCTGTTGATGGGGCATCGTCCCAGCAAGTGAAGGGGCTAGTCTTACATTCGACAAACATAAGTATAACAATACAATACCAACTTACAATAAGGTCAACCAAGCAAAACATGAATCATCCTTTTACTTCATGCTGTGTAGTTGCATACACAGCTGTGTGTATACCAGGGCAGATCTAGTGGGACAATGCAATTACAGTCTGTGCAAAGAATTTCAGTTGCTTTATGAGGCAAACCTTTTTTGTTTTCATTGAACACATTCAATTGGCAGTGTACACATTTGGTCAATCAGACATAAAAAAATGAAATATTTTAGATTTATTTGCCTGACTGCTGTCTTTGAATTAGTAAAATGAAAAAGATAAAAGGACAAAAAATTAACAGTTAACTCTTTACATGCTGTCAATCAAATTCAGTTTATTGACCTATCTTGTCTCTGGCCATTGCCTCATTAAGAAAATAAAACCTCTTATACAATGAAAATGTATGTCCATATGTCAAAAATGAAATATATAACTTACTTCACTTTAAATAGACTTTCCCTCACTAAATGCTTTAGTTCCCAATAAGCTGAAAGAAACACACTGAGCTAATAAAATTAAAAATAATTTTCAACCTACTAAAGTTACTGTCAAGCAAAAAGTCAGTAATCTTCACAATAAAAGAGCTTATTAGACGGAACGAAATGTTACGAGACTTGGGTTTCAGAATCATGTCTACGTAACTGACTGCAATAATGAAATAGACCAATTTTTTCTGCCATTAAATTGTGTGGTTGTAAATAATTTCGCAACACATCATTCTACAAGTTCTCATATACCGAAGGCCTCGGTGTCTCCAAAGCTATGAACGTATGTTGTTTATCGTCTTCAGTTAAATATGACACCAAGGACAGTCATACTTCATCTTTGTTGTAAAAACTAAATCTAACTATCTGACAACTATTTAAAAAACTGGCATAATACAACAAAATGTTTATTTCTGTGTCACAATTAATAAACATTCTAATGAAATAAGTGATCAGTTAAACATGTTAAAAGATGCTAAATATTTATGACATTAAATCAACATTTAAGGATATTTCTAGGTTATGCACAATATTGATTATGAAGACAGTTAAAAAATCATATTTGCATATATCAATGGATCACGCACAGACATTCTGTGTAGTTTGTTTACCCATAGTCTAACACTCACTCACTCATTCATAGGATGTACAATATCGCTTTTATCCTCTTGCACACATGGCGAGAACATTTAAGTCATATATGATCACAATACAGTCATCTCCGATATAACAAAGTGGTTAAAACAAGTCCGTTAGAACAAATCCAATGTTGTCATCAAATTACATTTATTGTCCAAGTGAATTATTTCTGATATAACAAACCAGTTAGGGTCCTCGTTGTTTGAGAGGATATCAAGAGTTGCAACAAATAAACAGTTGTGTAGATCTCAAATCTGTATTAAGATTAAGGCCACAATAATTAGATTTTATTTCAAATTTTCATTTTTTCTTAGACTGTTCATATCACCTTAGGGCATTACCGTATTCGACGTAATAAGCGCCCCGCTCTTATAAGCGCCCACGGTGATATTTGCTAATATATTGGCTAGTGAACAATCCCAAATAGCACCCCTTCCGTTTGATCAATGTACACTAGACTTATTTATTCGTGCATAATACGCACTCGTGTGTTATATCACCCTTAATTATGGGCAATTAAAATCTTGAAAAATATATCTGTCGTATGAAACATTTCAGGCTGTTAGCATAAAGCACAAAATTTACGATCTTTCAACTCAAAATAAAATTCTAATAAGCGACCCCTATTTCTAATTTTGAGAGCGCCCTGGGCGCTTATTACGTCGAATACGGTAACTTTCAGTGGATGTTGTACAGCTGAAGCATGAATGTTTGGTATGAATACATGTATGGTGTATATTATCATGTGTTGAAAGAAGGAACACACACATTCATTTTCTTCCTCTGCTGGTACTCTGTGATATTAAAATGATGTCAGATGGGTGTTTGGTATTGAGGTGGGTAGGTAGACTAACATCAGTCTAGTCTCTGAAATGAACATATTTTACAGAAAAAACAGTTGTTAAATTATAGTTATAAAAAATATAATAAAAAGGAGCCGAGAGACTCTCTTCATTTTCAGAATACTGATACTGCAGTAATCTAGACTTGCCAAACATTATAGACTTACAGGGCTGTATTGGATATATTTGTTTCAGGGTCTGTATGACAGATAAGTGGGCAGGGATAAAACTCTAATAATTGATCATGTTCTTATCTGACTGATGTTTGAGACGGTATGCTCTAACACGCTGTTTCAGTTCTCCCAGTTGAGAACTGGTTTGTCTCACCCAAGCCTGTTTAATGTAAGCCCCATGAATATCTTGTGTGTCATCTCTCTGAATCTGTTTTTTATTTTTGTAAATTTTGCTTCATTTATTTTTCATCTTTAAGAGCAATATTAACCAAATAATTAAATTTCACTCTCCTCTTATGAAGTGATGAGAAACAAGAAATGATGGTGCAGGATGGCTACTTAGCATCAAACACCACTCACTCACTCACTCTTGGAGAGCATTATAGGTTACGGGTGCAACACGGGATAGGCAGGCACTTAGGCACATAGTTTCTCACAGAGGTGATTCATGAGCACACACCATGCAAGTTTGTACCGCTCTAGGAGTGAGCATACCAGAGTGCTAAATTAATCAAAGACAATGCTATTCATTAGGGCTGGGACGAGTCCGAATTTACTACCCGGGTACCCAACCCCCTATTACCCGACCCTACCCGGGTACCCACTGTAGGTCTCAAGAGATAGGTACAAAATGTCCGATTGGGGATTTTATTATTATATTACCATAGCACTGGCAAAACGTATTTAGATACATGTATTAAACAATCTGGTCATGCATACACTGAAGTTGACTCAAGTTATATCTTTATTCAAAGATGTGAAAAGTCAGAAGAAATGGGTGCATAGTCAGAAAGAAATGCGAACATTTGTGACTTGTTGTGTAACCATAGAGTTCTAGATATTTTTTGTCATTAAACAATATATCACATGACCAACCATGGGTCCGGGTAGTCCTGTGGGTACTCGGGTCCTACTCAGTACCCATCCGACCCGGGTACCCGAGTTACCCGTCCCAGCCCTAGTATTCATCAAACTAATCTTACCGAAATCTGAAATTATGACATGTTTAATTAACAAATGTGTCAAAACATTAACAGATACATGTTTATTTGGCTCGAACAATGACATCAAATTGGTATAGAGTGTATACGCAGTGTGTATTTCAAGCAGTGCATTAACAACCTGGACCCTTTTCTGCTGAAGCTGTTGTGGAAAGACAATATATACTTGTGTTTCTGGTTAGTAAAGCAATTATTTCACATATTATCAAAACTTGTGTATTTATATAGGTTTCGTCTTACCTGTAGACACATGTCCATGTTACAGGAAACACAAGTATATTTTTTACCTTATATGGGCTGTGAAGTGTTGTGTTAGTTGTGACTTGTTTACTCAGTGGGCAGTGCTATGGTTACAGAAGCTTTGTGTTCTACAAAGGTCGAAAAAAGTCGTGTTTCTTCGGTTATTTTTCTAACCATCATATTGGCTCCTTGGGTTTCATTCATGGCAAGGGCAGGTAACTCTAATCCCATTTCAAAAACACGTCTGTATCTGATACACATGTGAACTTTCATCTGAATGGAATATGTTTGTTTGAACAAAAGACTAAAAAATATCAAACGATTTTCCCTCAAAATTATCCCCATGACACAAATTAATGTTGTTAATAGCTTTGTGAACATGTATCCTATGTTTACAATCACTGTTGCAGTTTTTGATAAAGGATATTAACTAAAGAATCTAGTAATAAATATAAAAGACTAAATAAATGTTGTGAATATGAAACGTTGATGAATTATAGATAAGGCCTAAAAAATATGATGTGGTCCTCATCACTGACTTATTCTTTATGATGAAAAACAGCAATGTAACGATATTTATCAAATATGTGAGGTGTCTTTATGTTTGAAAGATATACTGAGTGAAACCAATTTTGTCAGCCATGTAATTTGAACCACAAAAAGTGTTTAGACCTCAACTATGAGGATCTGTGATGTGGTGTGTGTGTGTGTGTGTGTGTGTGTGTGTGTGTGTGTGTGTGTGTGTGTGTGTGTGTGTGTGTGTGTGTGTGTGTGCATATACTTCTCAAAACAAGTTAAGGAACACCCACAAGTGGATGTTTGTGTGTTGCAATACCCACCAGCGATGCCAGATTAACTATAGTCTCATGAACAAAATCTGGTGTTCTTTAACTTCTTTTTGAGTGGTATGTAATAATAATTTAAGTCAATGCAACATTTCATGTAAAACTAAGATTTTAGTTTGTTACTATTCTATCAAAAGTGAAAATTGTATCATCCTTTCTGCACACAAGTTTAACACTACACGTCACTGATCCATTGAAAATATCACAATTATAAACAGACCATGGCACACAGTTACTCCTCTGTGGTAAACAATGAGTTATCTCCCTTCCTTACAAGCAATTTCACTGAACAGGAAATACAGTTTCCTTCATCAGTTGGGATACCATCAGTATTTGGTCAAACTGAATGTTTGTTGGAACTTATTGTTTTGGGAAAGGATTTTCTAATACAGAATACTTGTATATAGAATATTTCATGCCCTCGTCGTAGACAACCAGCATTGTGTACTTCTGGCATTAAGAAATGTGTGAGTGAGTGAGTTGGGTTTAACGTCGCTTTTAACAGTATTCCAGTTACATCGCGGCGTGTCAGCTTAATGTGGGAGGAAAGCTCGAAGTGATGCAGGTCTCCGACCGTTACCACTTCTGTGAAACCAACGAGCATGGGTATGGTGCTGACAAACCTTGAAACATAATCGGGGCGAACTGGGATTCGAACCCACAATCATAGGTTTCTGGCGTGCCCAAGGGACGCAACTCTGCACAGCGAATCGCGGCGCCTAAGATGACTGGGCCACCCGTGCCCCCAAGAAATGTGAAGTACATGCCAAGTCAGGGACAGGCAGTTGATAATCTCTTGTGGCCTCGATGGGAAGATTTATTAATTTAGTGTTTGGATAATAAGAAAATAATGTAAAATATTCATTTTCTTAAAAAAACATATTGTCAGAAATGGTGATGATGAGAAATCCTTTTTTAAAATTACTTCTTTTTAGATGTCAATTAACATCATATCCCTTTTTGCCCAAATTTGGGCTTGTCAACTCTGGTTATGGAGCTTGACAATTTTATGTGTCAATAGGTGTGGTTCTTCAGGAATGAACAATGTCCTTTCCCCAAATTATGATAGCATTTGTGTTAAAAGAACAGACACATTATCGAGAAAATAAAGTCCCAAGTTGTGAACAAATTGCAGACAATCGAATTCAAACTGTTCCTTGAGGGGATGTCTTGATATAAATTCAATCTGAAGATAGTTGGATAGCTAACATTTTTATCTTGTCAAAGAAACTGCCATGTTCTTTGTTTCTACAGAATACGAAACAGTTTAAAGCATCGTAATAAAATACATTTCTTGTAATGAAGGGAGATAACTCATCTATTAAAAAATTGCTGCCTTCTTGAATAACAGTGTATTGCATGATGGGAGTTTCTCTCCGTTTGATTCTTGGTTTTCGGAGGGAGGTGATGAGAACGGCCTGATTCTGAGGCGCTAATGGATGATATTGATCACTGTTAAAACTAAAAGTGTAGCCGTGAAATGAAGCGTTCTGAAACACACAACACTGGTTTGTCCACTGCTTTTATCTTCATCTTCTGTAGAGGTCCCTGTAACAGAAATTGACCACAAATTGCCATGTATCTGAGATAAGAGATGGGCACAAAGCTTGTCTATAATTTGTTGTATTTGAAGAACACTTATTCCTGAAGATATATATATATGATTAAAATGCATATTTCAGAGAGTGCAATTTGTAAAGACAGATGAATGACATTCTTGCTTTGTTGATAATCCTGTAATATTTGCCAAATAATTGCTGTTTGTTTTAAAGGTACCTTCAAGATCTATTTTTGTTTGTACTCTTGTTAAGTCTTTGATAGGCATTTAGCTGTTGAAAGAATGTGAAAGCATGAACCGTTATGGTTAACAACATCCTTGTTGATTTTAACGTTTCAGGGCTACTGCTTGCCTCTTCATCATTCACCTGATGAAGACGTAGCCCTGAAACGCTAAAAATGATAAGGCTGTTGTTAGCCATAATGTTTCATGTCTGTGTGTTCTTGTATCTGTAAAGACAAGATATTTTATAGATCACAACTTCATTATTCTAGTATGATCAAACTTTTCGCACTAGATCCTTTTTCCATCGTCAAGCAAGTGGTCAGAAATAGAAGTTGTTAGCCATAAAATATCTTGTCTTTACTGTTACTTACCAACTTCTAAAAATTTAACAGTTTGTGTTCTTGTATGGTGTTTTTAAAGGTTCTAAGGAAATGAACCTCAAATCAACCATGACAGCATTTTTATTATTTCTATGTTAGACAAGAAAATGGTCTGGCTTCATTTTCTTTCTTTGTTCTTGAGAAATTTTAACCTCAGCTTATTTCAAACATGCATTATTTGATAAATCAGTCTTGAAATGATCAAATTTGATTCAGATCATATATAAAATCATTTTGAAATGGACGGAACTTACCACGTTTTACATTCAATGATCCAGCTGCATGGTAAAAAGAAAAACAACAACATTGTTATTTACAATGAAGATATATCTGGAAAACAATATGATTTCTTCAGCTTATCAAAAATCTATTAAAAAATTAAAAAATGTATTTTTTCTTTGCTTAAAATCATGATTCAGATATGAAATACAAAGAAAGTGAAGATGGATTGAGCATAAAACAGCACAGCTTAAGTGGAGTTATTTCCCTTTGACCAATCAGTTTGAATATAGTGGAATGGAAGAAGGTCCAGTAGACTTTCTTGGATATGAAATTTAGAAAAGAGAATAAATTTGTGCTCCCAAGATGATGATGGCAAATAAAAGTACATTGGACATCACACATGTGTTTCAGATATCTTATGTGACTCCACATGTAGATTCAGTGTATGGGGCCCACTTGTGTCTTGCACATCATATTGCTTGACTATTGCTCAAAATGAGACCCGTCTTCCCGAGGCAAGAGAGTTAAAGGACTTTCTAAGTCTAGTTTCCACCCTTGACGAACTATTCTGGAATTACGTGGTTCGACCGTTGCGCCTCCAGTGGTTATTAGGAGTTATGTCCCTTGACGGTAGACATGTTTTGCAAATCCAGCAATTGACCTAAATCTGCATGGCAAGTTACGAGCCTGTGTCGATTTTGTACCTGACTTTGAATGGACTTGCATAAACTTGTTAAGACCAGCCAAAACATAACTCCTAAATTAAGGCCTAGTGCGGCAAGGGTGGAAACTGGACTTTCATTGTCAGTTACCTCCCTTTTTCTTGGGAAGATGCATACTGATTCATTCACACTGGATGTTATATAGGGATTGGGGATTTCAGTGCTACAATTCAGATTCTTCGGATTTCCTCGTGAGTTGGAAGTTTCCTTTTGGATTTTTTAGAACCATGTGTTTGTTAGTTGTTCATGAGTTTGGGATTTTCCCCATGCATTTTTGAGTCCCAAAAGTTTAAGTGAGTGGGTGAGTATGGTTTTACGCCGCTTTTAACAATATTCCAGCAATACACCAGAAATGGGCTTCACACATTGTACCCATTGTACCGCCACAAAAAGTTTGAAGGAGGGTAAGGAGGCACCATAGTAGTTTTGCCAAAGTCCAATGGCCAATGGCCAATTGAATCAAAGACGTTTCCTGATATTGTGCTTGTGCTTGTGGACCAAAGTGGAAGTCTTCTAAGATATGCACCACTTTGGAATTTCCACATTGAGCAGACATGTTGGTGTAACTGAAATTAACCCTTATCCCCACCCACTCACTCTCTCACTCACTCACTCACTCACTCACTCACAACCAGGAAATTAACCCTTATCCCCACTCACTCACTCACTCACTCACTCACTCACTACCAGGATGATTGGAGTTTCTAATTATTTTAATAATTTCCAATGATTTTTAGAGCTTTCAATAAGTTTTAAGGTTTCCCCATGAAATTTTAGAGCTTCTTAGTTTCCTGGTCTCCCCATGGACATGTGGTTACAATGTGGTTACATTGTGGTTATGAGGTGTTTGTTTGGAAATATGAAGTCCTACCATTGACGGGTATCCAATGAGAGAGCATTAAAATCAGGGCATATTTGTGAGTAATGTTGTTTTATGAGGAAGATGACATTTCAATATTTCATAACTTTATAGGATTAAGGAACCTGTGGGCAGTGATGAAAAATTACTAATTATATTTCACAAGTAATAGGTAGTTTCAACATAATAGGATGTGGCTGACGATTGGTATTCTTAGCCCAGTTGCACAAAACAGTTCACCCCTGTATTTTCTCAATGAAAGTTAACCCTTCTATGTTTATCTAGATGTGTAGACTTCTCAAACAGATGATAAACATATGCAATATCATGAATGGACTGTGTAAGATGTGACGAATAGTCACATGGCGCTGGCCTGTGGCAGAGGTGCTATGCTGACGCATGGAACTCTGGGTAGGAGAGTGGGATTGTTGATCATACCATCAATCCTTGGATTGTCTAGTCACCGTCATATAACTGAAGTATAGCTGAATGTGGTATTAAACAACAGACAGACAAAGCAGTTAAAAGGCAAGGTCAGTTTAAATATCAGCCTTGAGTTCCACAGTCATTTGGATATTTTTGCTTGTTCAAGTGGGCCCAGTACATATATGATTTTACTATGCTAATGTGACTGAACATATATATCTCAAATAAGATCATTTAATCATTTTCAATATCATACTTTTCATACTCGCTGTCTCCATACAGGGGTCGGGGACAGATAGGTCCACAATGTACATGGTGTTGTCACAGCCGACTACAATGAGGATTGGGAGGACACAGTGTGTGAACTGGCCCTTGTCATTGCCTCTGGACAGTCTTAATCATTGCTCATGTTGTCAACCACAGACTTGCCTGGCCTAAACAGTATATATTTACAGTCTGCCAAAGACGGAATATTGCTGACTGGTGTAAAATGTCATACACTCACTCACTCACTCATGGCTCTGTTAAACACAACATGATCAAAATATGCTCACACTCATAGTCATAATGTCAGACAAAACATGGTCAAACATACTCATACTCACAGCTGTCAAACCAGACATGTTCAAACAAACATGCTCATACTCTTAATATCAGACGAAACAATTTTTAACATATTCACTCATTCTCATAGCTCTTTCAAACAAAGCATGATCAAATATATTCACTGATACTAATAATCATGTCAAACAAAAGATGATCAAACATGCTAGCTCTCACTCATTATGTCAAACAAAACATGATCAAACGTGCTCTCACTCATTTCAATCAAAACATGATCAAACATGCTCTCACTCACTATGTCAAGCAAACATGATCTAACATGCTCTCACTCATGTCAAGCAAACATGATCTAACATGCTGTCACTCACTATGTCAATCAAAAGATGATCAAACATGCACTCACTCCCTATGTAAATCAAAACATGATCAAACATGCTCTCATCATTATGTCAATCAAAACATGATCAAACATGCTCTCACTCATTATGTCAAACAAAACATGATGAAATGTGCTCTCACTCATTTCAATCAAAACATGATCAAACATGCTCTCACTCATGTAAAGCAAACATGATCAAACATGCTCTCACTCACTATGTCAATCAAAACATGATCAAACATGCTCTCACTCGTGTCAAACAAAACATGATCAAACATGCTCTTACTCGTGTCAAACAAAACATGATCAAACATGCTCTAACTCATGTCAAACAAAACATGATCAAACATGCTCTCACTCGTGTCAAACAAAACATGATCTAACATGCTCCCACTCATGTCAAACAAAACATGACACTCATGTCAAACAAAACATGATCAAAAGTACTCACTCATTCTAATAAGGTAAAACAAAACATGATTAAACATACACACACACACACACACACACGAATACTGATAACTGTCAAACAGAAACATGTTCAAACGTTAAAAATATGTATATACAGTTTTATTGGTGTACTGAGAACAAATTAAGGAAGTATATCTGAACAGTAAATTTTTAATAAAGTTAATATTTTCAGATGTTCAATGATTCTTTCAGGTTTGATTTTATAAAGACATTCTCCTTGATTGAACTGACTGAACCCTTTGGGAGGTCCTCTGAGACCTGTATTTACCAAATATGTATGGGAAATAGATAGGATAAGTGAAATGTGAGAGGGGAGATAATCACAATCTGTGAAGTTCCCAGACTGTTTGTCTTATAAACTTGACAGGTAGGTTTCTTGTCTTCAAAATATTGATTACTTTTTTGGAAGAGTCTGGATATGTTGGTGTCCATAGTAACCCATCACACAGGAAGAGCCTCATTAGAGCACCACAACTGGGCAGGGTTCTATGTTTCCTGTTTTATCAAGTTGTCAGCTTTGTGAAGGAATCTTGGCTCATCAGACCAGTCTATCAGCAGAGTGAACATGTTCGGGTATTTACTCTCATGTCCGTCACAGATAATACAATCTGGCAATACGTATACACTGATCAGCCATTAAGAATTCCCAACACATATTCTCCATTGGATTTGTGTTCAGGTGGAGAAGCTAACATAATTTTCATTACTTCCCTTGTGACTTTTATTCACATTTTCTTATGTGATACTTGTAAGCAGTTAATGCGGCTACATGTTCATCATTTTTATTTCTCGGCACAAAATATTTGTCACCAACACCAGACATGATACACAATAACCAAACAGAAGGGGGTATTAATAACAATAAATGAAACTATAGTTCAGAAATCAAAACAGGAATATCGTTTTTGCAACACTAACTTAACAACGAGTCTAAAGAGGATGGTTATGGCAAACTACTGTCGAGTTGATGTCGGTGTTTGAATTAAGCACTTGCTCATGGGCAGGTACGTCTCGTGTTGGGCCATTAGTTACAAAGTTGTATGGGTCCTTATGGTAGTGAATTATGTGTCTATTATTTGTCACAATAAGCTGCATTGTTTTTAAATGAGGGCCTGAAGAGTTCAGTCAGGGCCTGGAGCTTCTAAAGTCTGTGGGTCCTGATGGCAGACTGGCAAGTATTTTTATTTCGAACACTGTCAAGGACATGGGCTTTCTTCCACGGAGAGATCTTCGTGCTACAACTGTCATGACTGTATGTTAAGGTATGGGTGTTAAAATAGTTATAGCGCTTAAATCGCCTTGTGGAGCTCGGACATAATCTTCACAGTAGGACCTTCTGTTACAGACAGGGCACTTCAAGATGCAGATCTATATTGGTAACTACAGGATCTGGTTGCATGTTTATGTCTGCAGATATAAAAAAAAACAATCCCAGACAACCCACTTACCATTAAGAACATGGACTTTTATGCTTGTGATGTCCAGGTTACTGCTTCGGCAAACATAGGTGCCAGCATCGTTCATATTGCTGTGCTTCAACTGGAGGACACTCACTATAGTCTTGGTTGGAAGTGACTGGAATTTTTCTATTGTAATCTTCTGATGTGCATCTGGTGTTATTTTGATGCCATCTTTAAACCAGTCTAAATCCTGTGGAGGGTTCACAGACCCAGTTGCATTGCACACAATATGAATAGGGTCACCTTTTTCAACAAATGTTGTTCCTGACACAAAAATAGCTGAAATATAGAAGGAATGCCAATGAAAAACACAGAAGGTACACAAGTCTCATTGAATATTACTTAACTTTTCGTAGGGATCAGACCAGGGGAATTCCTAGATCCTCATGCTTGTTGTAAGAGCTTAGACAGCTGGGTGTGGATTGGGTGGTTATGGTCAGTGACCTTGAGGATTGGATGTCATTATGGCTCACTGGCATGGATCATTGCATAATGTTGTCGACCACTTGCATGGTCCAGATCTGGTAACTCAAAGGTTGGTATGATATATAGCTGGTGACAAAATAGTAACTAACCAGTCGAGAAAGAGATCTTAGGTTACAAGTACTTTTATCAAACCATTTTCAATTTTCTAGTTCAGCAACTGTGTCATATTTCATCCCAATATGTGTTATTGGTGGTGACTGAATGTTCCTCAGAACCTAGAGGGTGTTATTGGAGATGGTTGAAGTGGCCCCAGTACCTAGTGGGTGTTATTGGAGGTGTCTGAATGTTCCTCAGAACCTAGTGGGTGTTATTGGAGATGGTTGAAGTGGTCCCACTACATAGTGGGTGTTATTGGAGGTGTCTGAAATGGTGCCAGTACCTATTGGGTGGGTGTTATTGGAGATGGTTGAAGTGGCCCTAGTACCTGATGGTTGTTATTGGAGGTGTCTGAAATGGTGCCAGTACCTAGTGGGTGTTATTGGTGGTGGCTGAAGTGGCACCAGTACCTAGTGGGTGATGTTGGAGGATGCTTAAGTGGACCAAGTACCTAGTGGGTGTTATTGGTGGTTGCTGAAGTGGTCTGCAGTACCTAGTTGGTGTTATTGGTGTTGGCTGAAGTGGCCCCAGTACCTGATGGGTGTTATTGGAGGTGGCTGAAGTGGCCCCAGTACCTAGTGGGTGATGTTGGAGGAGGCTGAAGTGGCTCCAGTACCTAGTGGGTGTTATTGGAGGTGGCTGAAGTGGCCCCAGCAGCTACTGGGTGTTATTGGAGGTGGCTGAAGTGGCCCTAGTACTTAGTGGGTGATGTTGGAGGAGGCTGAAGTGGCTCCAGTACCTAGTGGGTGTTATTGGTGGTGGCTGAAGTGGAGAACAGGTGGTTACAATGGCTGCTGATTGTGGTTAGGACAACTCGCAGTTGTAACCAAGGTTGCCGCCAGTGATCACAATGTCAACCGATGGTTTGCCTACTTCAAGTTTAAAGGTTTAGGTTAAATGATACAGCAGCTGATACTGAATGTAGGGAACAAACCCAGAACCTCATTTGACTAATGAAAGTTTAGTTTGTAACCATGGTAACTGATCCCTCCCAAATCTCACCTGGCACTGTAGACTGAGGCTTATCTGGAAAAGGAAATAAGATTGATTAGTCAATAGATATAGATTGCATTTCCTGACATGATAAAATTGGTTTCTTGTTTCTTTCTGTCCGTAACAACAATGCGCGATATTCATTCTGATCAAATTTACATTGCACAAATGCTCTGATAATACCAATTTCTTTTGGTCATATTTTGGTCAGAATTCCAATGTTCAGGAGGTAAAATAATATCATGTTAATATTAATCCTTTAAAAAGATTCTGTAAAAAAAGTTATGAAAATGTGCAAACAAATGTTCAAATAAAGTCCATTTGACACAACATTTGAAATTATTATATTTTTTTATTAAACAATTAAATTAAGATCAACATGTAAAACAAGATTAAGTTTTTTTCCTAAATATAATACAAATGATGTTTTGATAATCTAAATGTAATTCATTCTATATTCTACATATTAAAAAAACACATGGCATTTGTGTGAACTTATGCCCCATTTCTTTATGATGTCAAAGTTGGAAAAGAAACTTGACAGGATGGTATCATATGAGGTCTTGTCCATTGATCACAGAAAACATATTAAGCAAATTGGCACCATTAGCGGCATTTGGGGGTAAAACTGATGAAACTCTGTTAATGGGTTTTGACCTTATTATCTCTTAATAGAGACTAAGTGGGTTCGGTCTGCACACTGTCCACCAGGAAATGTACCACAGGAGTGCACATCTACCACTGGTGATGTTCACATTGGGGAAAACAGAACCTTTGATTTCTCAGGGGCAGAGTTGTCAGATTTACTTAAAGGATTGTCGGTTCCCTTGTATCAGTATATTTAGAAAGTTACAAGCAAGGCAGGACTTGGTAATTGTCCCTGAAGGCTTCCCAATCTTCTAACTACTACAGCAGACAGTCCAAGTGTCAAGGGTTTTCTTGTAATGGGCAAATGATGTCTTTTCTACAGGATTAGAACAGTGATGTCTTGTAACATAAACTGTTGATTTCATGATTGAGGGAAGGATCGTTTCTCATTTGAAACCTGTCATGATCTGACTGGTGGATGGTCTGCTTACATAGTATTGATGCAGGGAATTGTATCGTTCTTGTTCTTCATTAAAATTTGATATTACTGCTGATCTTGTTTGGCAGTATATGTTTTCCATAGGTGATGAAAGAAAACCAATCAGGCTGTATAGGGTTCACATTAGTTCTGCTTGGAGTTGTAAGATGGAGAAACAGATATCGGTCGGAAATTGAAGGATGCATATGATCAACATCAGGACATAGTACATAAAAGACATTTGTTTTTTCAAATGTTAAAATATACATATTTGACTCACAATATGTGAGGAAATTGTTGTTTATGAGCAATGGTGCTGGATTTCTGCAGGACAAAAGTTTTATTTCAGTTTAATGGTACACAGTATCTTTGTGACATTTGAAGACACATTTCTAGACGTTAGGACTTTTATTTAGATTTTGGTACCATTTCATTTGATTGCTGTTACACTTATATTACACACTCTATCTCAATGTTTTATACACAGTAATGACAGAAAAGTGTTCTTTGCAAACATAATTTGGTGTGCATGACCTTCCATAGTAGCATAAAGGCTGTAAAAAGCAGGAATGTTGACTAAATTCTGAAAGAATTTTAAAGGACAGGAACGTGTATAAGTTCCATAGCCTCTTCCATGACTTTAAGGGGTGGAGAGGTAGCCTAGTGGTTAAAGTGTTGGTTTGTCATGCTGGAGACCCGTATTCAATTCTCAACATGGGTACAATGTGTGAAACACATTTCTGGTGTCCCCTCAATACTCTTGAACATGACGCTCACTCACTCCATGGCTTGAGGAATATTTCGAACAACAACTGTTCTCTATGATCAATAAGAACAAATGTATGTATAGATATATAACATAAATTTGAATCTAATAACAGTAAATAAAACAAGGATTATGTGGCAATATCAATTTTTAATTTGACATATTTTGTTGTATTTATGTATTATCTTACTTGTTGCTGTACAGTATTTGGCAATTCATTTTTACCCAATCTATATGGATTTGTCTTCTCACATGTAATAGTTGCCTACTGCATCAAAGTTTACAAAAGTCATATAACTTGAAAGTAGGTTAGATTTTATACACATTACCAAAGCACACATCATGCTAAACACACAAAAGCATTCCAAAACGACAATCATAACATTGCCATGTTGCACTCACATTGAAAAATGAACTCGACAGTACAACACGCTTGTGCAGGTAGAGGATAGAAAACATGGGAAGGCTTGGGGAGGAATGCGTACGTGAAGTACATCGGTACAGTCAGAGGGACTACATCTACCCATGTCCAATATTACCTGGTTTCGATCAACTAATTATTAAAGTAAGCATCTTGAATATAATACCATATCTTAGTGATTGACATTGCTTCAGTTTTACCACCATTTTTACCAGAAATATACCGTAATTTGCAGAAAAAAGTGAGTCAGGGTAAAAAGATTAAGTCTGAGTGAAGATTTGCTAACCAATAAGTCTGCTAAAGCAGCACAATCCATATAGTTTGCCAAGATATCTCATCTATAAAGTCTGCAAAGGTGGCCCCTTCCATGACGTCTGGAAATGTGGCCCAATCCATGTAGGCTTGAAAGGTGGCCCAATCCATTTTGTCTGGAAAGGTGGCTCCTTCCATGTTGTCTGGAAAGGTGGCCCCTTCCATGTAGTCTTGAAAGGTGGCCCAATCCATGTAGTCTGGAAAGGTGGCCCAATCCATGTAGTCTGGAAAGGTGGCCCCTTCCATGTAGTCTGGAAAGGTGGCCCAATCCATGTAGTCTTGAAAGGTGGGCCAATCCATGTAGTCTGGAAAGGTGGCCCGATCCATGTAGTCTGGAAAGGTGGCCAAATCCATGTAGTCTGGAAAGGTGGCCCAATCCAAGTAGTCTGGAAAGGTGGCCCAATCCATGTAGTCTGGAAAGGTGGCCCCTTCCATGTAGTCTTGAAAGGTGGCCCAATCCATGTAGTCTGGAAAGGTGGCCCCTTCCATGTAGTCTTGAAAGGTGGCCCGATCCATGTAGTCTGGAAAGGTTGCCCCTTCCATGTAGTCTGGAAAGGTGGCCCAATCCATGTAGTCCGGAAAGGTGGCCCAATCCATGTAGTCTTGAAGGGTGGCCCAATCCATGTAGTCTGGAAAGGTTGCCTCATCCATGTAGTCTGGAAAGGTGGCCCAATCCATGTAGTCTTGAAGGGTGGCCCAATTCATGTAGTCTTGAAAGGTGGCCCAATCCATGTAGTCTTGAAAGGTGGCCCAATCCATGTAGTCTTGAAAGGTAGCCCAATCCATGTAGTCTGGAAAGGTGGCCCAATCCATGTAGTCTGGAAAGGTGGCTCCTTCCATGTACAGTAAACTACGGTTATAACAAACTCAAAGGGACTACTAATTTTAGTTTGTTATAACCGTAATTCATTATAAGCATATATACAGCATAACTACAGCATATAGTCGGGACTAAAAAGTTAGTTCGTTATATCCGTTAGTTCATTATATGCGTGTTCGTTATAACCGTAGTTTACTGTAGTCTAGAAAGGTGGCCCAATCCATGTAGTCTGGAAAGGTGGCCCCTTCCATGTTGTCTAGAAAGGTGTCCCAATCCATGTTGTCTGGAAAGGTGGCCCCATTCATGTAGTCTTGAAAGGTGGCCCCTTCCATGTAGTCTTGAAAGGTGGCCCCATTCATGTAGTCTGGAAAGGTGGCTCCTTCCATGTAGTCTGGAAAGGTGGCCCAATCCATGTAGTCTGGAAAGGTGGCCCAATCCATGTAGTCTGGAAAGGTGGCCCAATCCATGTAGTCTTGAAAGGTGGCCCAATCCATGTAGTCTGGAAAGGTGGCCCAATCCATGTAGTCTTGAAAGGTGGCCCAATCCATGTAGTCTGGAAAGGTGGCCCAATCCATGTTGTCTGGAAAGGTTGCCCCTTCCATGTTGTCTAGAAAGGTGGCTCCTTCCATGTAGTCTGGAAAGTTGGCCCAATCCATGTAGTCTGGAAAGGTGGCCCAATCCATGTAGTCTGGAAAGGTGGCCCAATCCATGTAGTCTGAGAAGGTGGCCCAATCCATGTAGTCTGGAAAGGTGGCCCAATCCATGTAGTCTGGAAAGGTTGCCCCTTCCATGTTGTCTAGAAAGGTGGCCCAATCCATGTTGTCTAGAAAGGTGGCCCAATCCATGTAGTCTGGAAAGTTGGCCAAATCCATGTAGTCTGGAAAGGTGGCTCCTTCCATGTAGTCTGGAAAGGTGGCCCAATCCAAGTAGTCTGGAAAGGTGGCCCAATCCATGTAGTCTGGAAAGGTGGCCCAATCCATGTAGTCTGGAAAGGTGGCCCAATCCCTGAGTCTGGAAAGGTGGCCCAATCCAAGTAGTCTGGAAAGGTGGCCCCTTCCATGTAGTCTGGAAAGGTGGCTCCTTCCATGTAGTCTGGAAAGGTGGCCCAATCCAAGTAGTCTTGAAAGGTAGCCCAATCCATGTAGTCTGGAAAGGTGGCCCAATCCATGTAGTCTGGAAAGGTGGCCCAATCCATGTAGTCTGGAAAGGTGGCCAAATCCATGTTGTCTGGAAAGTTGGCCCAATCCATGTATTCTGGAAAGGTGGCCCAATCCCTGAGTCTGGAAAGGTGGCCCAATCCATGTAGTCTTGAAAGGTGGCCCCTTCCATGTAGTCTTGAAGGGTGGGCCAATCCATGTAGTCTTGAAAGGTGGCCCAATCCATGTAGTCTTGAAGGGTGGCCCAATCCATGTAGTCTTGAAAGTTGGCCCAATCCATGTCGTCTGGAAAGGTTGCCCCATCCATGTAGTCTGGAAAGTTGCCCCATCCAAAACATCTGCCAAGGTGGCCCCATCCATCTATTCTGGCGAAGTGGACCCATCCATAGAGTTTGCCAAGATAGCCCCATCCATAGAGTCTGCCAAGGTAGCCCCATCCATAGAGTCTGCCAAGGTAGCCCCATCCATAGAGTCTGCCAAGGTAGCCCCATCCATAGAGTCAGCAAAGGTGGCCCCATCCATGTAGTCTGGAAAGATGGCCCAATCCATGTAGTCTGGAAAGTTGGCCCAATCCATGATGTCTGGAAAGGTGGCCCCTTCCATGTAGTCTGGAAAGGTGGCCCAGTCCATGTTGTCTGGAAAGTTTGCCCCTTCCATGTTGTCTAGAAAGGTGGCTCCTTCCATGTAGTCTGGAAAGGTGGCCCAATCCATGTAGTCTTGAGAGGTGGCCAAATCCATGTAGTCTGGAAAGGTGGCCCAATCCATGTAGTCTGGAAAGGTGGCCCAATCCATGTAGTCTGAGAAGGTGGGCCAATCCATGTAGTCTGGAAAGGTGGCCCAATCCATGTAGTCTGGAAAGGTTGCCCCTTCCATGTTGTCTAGAAAGGTGGCCCAATCCATGTTGTCTAGAAAGGTGGCCCAATCCATGTAGTCTGGAAAGTTGGCCAAATCCATGTAGTCTGGAAAGGTGGCTCCTTCCATGTAGTCTGGAAAGGTGGCCCCTTCCATGTAGTCTGGAAAGGTGGCCCCTTCCATGTAGTCTTGAAGGGTGGGCTAATCCATGTAGTCTGGAAAGGTGGCCCAATCCATGTAGTCTTGAAGGGTGGGCCAATCCATGTAGTCTGGAAAGGTTGCCTCATCCATGTAGTCTGGAAAGTTGGACCAATCCATGTCGTCTGGAAAGGTTGCCCCATCCATGTAGTCTGGAAAGTTGCCCCATCCAAAACATCTGCCAAGGTGGCCCCATCCATCTATTCTGGCGAAGTGGACCCATCCATAGAGTTTGCCAAGATAGCCCCATCCATAGAGTCTGCCAAGGTAGCCCCATCCATAGAGTCTGCCAAGGTAGCCCCATCCATAGAGTCTGCCAAGGTAGCCCCATCCATAGAGTCAGCAAAGGTGGCCCCATCCATGTAGTCTGGAAAGATGGCCCAATCCATGTAGTCTGGAAAGTTGGCCCAATCCATGATGTCTGGAAAGGTGGCCCCATCCATGGAGTCTGGAAAGATCGCCCAATCCATGTAGTCTGGAAAGTTGGCCCAATCCATGATGTCTGGAAAGGTGGCCCCTTCCATGTAGTCTGGAAAGGTGGCCCAGTCCATGTTGTCTGGAAAGGTGGCCCCATCCATATAGTCTGGAAAATTTACCCCATCCATGTAGTCTGGAAAGATGGCCCCATCCATAACGTCTGCCAAGATGGCCCCATCCATAACATCTGCCAAGGTGGCCCCATTCATATAGTCTACCAAGGTAGCCCCATCCATATAGTCTGCCAAGGTAGCCCCATCCATTGAGTCTGCCAAGGTAGACCCATCCATATAGTCTGCCAAGGTGGCCTCATCCATAGAGTCTGACAAGGTGGCCTCATCCATAGAGTCTGCCAAGGAGACCCCATCCATATTGTCTGCCAAGGTAGCCTCATCCATAGAGTCTGCCAAGGTGGCCTCATCCATAGAGTCTGCCAAGGTGGCCTCATCCACAGAGTCTGCCAAGGTGGCCTCATGCATAGAGTCTGACAAGGTGGCCCCATTCATATAGTCTGCCAAGGTGTCCTCATCCATAGAGTCTGACAAGGTGTCCCCATCCATATAGTCTGACAAGGTAGCCCCATCCATATTGTCTGCCAAGGTGGCCTCATCATAGAGTCTACAGAGGTGGCCCAATCCATAGAGTCTGACAAGGTGGCCCCATCCATAGTGGCCCGATCCATAGAGTCTGACAAGGTGGCCTCATCCATAGAGTCTGACAAGGTAGCCCCATCCATATAGTCTGACAAGGTAGCCCCATCCATATAGTCTGCCAAGGTGGCCTCATCCATAGAGTCTGCCAAGATGGCCCCATCCATAATGTCTCCCAAGGTGGCCCCATCCATAGTGTCTGCCAAGATGGCCCCATCCATAATGTCTGCCAATGTGGCTACATCCATGGCCCCATCCATATAGTCTGCCAAGGTGGCCCCATCCACATAGTCTGCCAAGGTGGCCTCATCCATATAGTCTGACTAGGTGCCCCCATCCGTCTAGTCTTGAGAGGTAGAGACAGTCACGAAGGTCACCCACCCAAATAGAGTCCATTTTAGCTGAACAGCTAAAGGTGCTACTAGCCATTCAAAACCTCAACAAAACTGTTCCCACTGTGAGCAGTTTAAAGCAGGAAAGTCATTATCCTATGAGAATATTGAGTATAAAACTAATCAATCTAATGATGTCATAATATGTTTATCAAAATGGAAACTCACATCCTCGTAAATTTACGTTTTTTTACCTGGTCTGTTACACTGCTCATGTTTTTATTTGTCTTACAAGATGATAATTGTGCAATCCAGAACGTAACAGTGACATGTTATTGGACATGGGCATACACAGGGTCTACTGTCAAGTGAGTACTTTCACAGTTAGTGTGCAGATAACAAGTGCTTCAACCATCAATATTATACTGATATCATCCTCTGTAAACAAGGGTATTGCAGTCACATGCCTCTTACAAACCCTGAATAACGCTACATTACAAACACAATTCTTGATTTTGCATAGGATGTGACCAATCAATTTGATTTTCCATTTTTGTAAAATCCAAAAAATTTGGTTCTATAGAAAGTTATTTCAAGAGGTTCTTAATGAAAAGACCATCACTTTAAAATATTCATCAACTTTTTTAAATGGGTAGAATTTGAATGTCAGGAGGTATTTAGGCACGGTTCCTTGCACACAGAGGATGATGATGCTTTTGTGTGTTTATACAATCATGATACATACTTCAAAGATCATTGTCACTTGATGTACATTTTCCTAGGCTATTCATTATATTGAAATTGTTTGATTTAATTACTTTATTGAAATTATGTTACTGGAAAATATACTCAAGGAGATACACAAGTTATCAGTCAGCAGAAAAACGTAAGGGCAATAATTCTTAAATTACACATGAATGAACAGAAACATTAAAAGAGTTTGAACAAAGGTAATAAAAATGTACTACTTCATATGCATAAATATATTCAGCAAATTGTGAACTCTATGTGTACAACTGGAATCGTGTACAGACTATGGCTTCAAAATACATAAATATTATTTTTGGCAAAAGTCTTGCAGTAAGTCATCACTAATGCTTGTGCTTAAGTGACACAAAGCACCTTTTTTTTAAAAGAAACTGACAAAGGCTTCATAATGATTTTATATTATAATAAAACACTTTAAACTTATGGGCGGATGTTAATGACATTTCATGAAACCCATGTAAGATTTCATGATTTAAAATGTCCTTATAAAACAATATTGAAATCTAAAAACATGTCATCTGATAAATCTGATGTGTTAATGTACTTTTCTTCCTGAAAGACTTTTGCCATACATCTAGAGTATTGATAGACTAGTGTGATTATTGAACATGTAACAGTGAAATACTGACAGTCCATGCTGCAAGAGAGTGGTGGTATGTTTCTGCAGGCTGAGCATGGAGGTTAGAGGTTAAGGCCCAAAGGGACAACACAAACAGCAGTAGCGATCAGGGGAGATAACTGGGTAATAGAGAAAAAAGGGGAGATAACAACTATACCTCTACCATTCTTGAAGTACTCAGAGTTTACCCTCTGTGGATTGGTCGAAGCTAGCAAGCAAAATAAAATTCAAATTATGTGCTAATGTCTGTCACATTGTTTTGTTACACATCTAATATGGTGTTTCCTTATTACAACCAGGTCTAGTTTCATAAAGCATTGTCGTTCTACGACGGTTGTAACTCCATCATGCTAACAACAGTCATAGCCCGAATATCCCTTCATGAAATTAGGCTAAGGTGTTTATACATAGGAATTTTTAACTACAGATAGCAATTATAAGTATTATTTTGGGAATTCAAAATTAAACAGTTATAGTTTGATTACCTACAAGTTTGTAGATAAAGCTATTGCTGGTTCAGATGTTACCTGGGAAAGTTTTCTTGGTGAAATGAATATTTGTTTTTCTATAAATGTTACACCATAGTACTTAATCATGTATCTGACACATAAACAGTTGTCACACATACACTCTGTTGTAACGATGATCGTCTTTGGTTCTTGTCACTCTCTGAGTCGTGGGACCCGTCATTTTCATCGGGACAAGTCGGGGACAAACTTCAGGTCTGATCTCATCTCGATCGCACTCATGAGACAACATTAAAGTATTTTGTGAAATGTGCTGGAGATGTTATTGGCATAGGTTTGGCTGGCATTTCAAGCTGTGATTGGGATAGGGTTTAGGTGGTGTGTTTTTTACCCCAGGACTTGTTACTGCCATGAGGCTGGAATGGTGTGGATCGAGTTGTGACTGTTAATCATTATCTTGGATTTGTTTGGATTTGTGACTTTTTATTTGGGTGGGGTTGGGGGTGATGGGGTTACCTGGTGGTTAAAGCGTTGGTTCGTCACGCCGAAGACCTGGTTTCGAATCCCCACATGCTTACAATGTGTGAAGCCCATTTTCTGGTGTTCCCTGTCATGATATTGTTTGAATATTGCAAAAAGAGGCGTAAAACCATACTTACTCACTGGGTGGGATGGTGTGTGGACACTTTAGGCTGTGACTCATTTAGGATGGGGTTGTGTGTGGAGTTGTGATTTGTCATTAGTTTGGGTGGTGTGAGGAACTGTGATTGTCATAAGCCTGGGTGGTGTGTGGAGCTGTGATTGTCATTAGCCTGGTAGGTATGTGGATATGTGATTGTCATTAAGCTGGGTGGTGTGTAGAGTTGTGGTTGTCATTAGGCTGGGTGGTGTGTGGAGTTGTGATTGACATTACGCTGGGTGGTGTTGGGAGTTGTGGTTGTCATTAGGCTTGGTGGTGTGTGGAGCTGTGATTGTCATTAGGCTATGTGGTGTGTGGAGTTGTGATTGTCATTAAGCTGGGTGGTGTGTGGAGTTGTGATTGTCATTAAGCTGGGTGGTGTGTGGAGCTGTGATTGTCATTAAGCTATGTGGTGTGTGGAGTTGTGATTGACATTACGCTGGGTGGTGTGTGGAGCTGTGGTTGTCAATAAGCTGTGTGGTGTGTGGAGTTGTGATTGTCATTAAGCTGGGTGGTGTGTGGAGTTGTTATTGTCATTAGGCTATGTGGTGTGTGGAGCTGTGATTGCCGTCAGGCTGGGTGGTGTGTGGAGCTGTGATTGTCATTAAGCTGGGTGGTGTGTGGAATTGTGATTGTCATTAAGCTGGGTGGTGTGGAGCTGTGATTGTCATTTAGCTGGGTGGTGTGTGGAGTTGTGATTGTCATTAAGCTGGGTGGTGTGTGGAGTTGTGATTGTCATTAAGCTGGGTGGTGTGTGGAGCTGTGATTGTCATTAAGCTGGGTGGTGTGTGGAATTGTGATTGTCATTAAGCTGGGTGGTGTATGGAGCTGTGATTGTCATTAAGCTGGGTGGTGTGTGGAGTTGTGATTGTCATTAGGCTATGTGGTGTGTGGAGTTGTGGTTGTCATTAAGCTGGGTGGTGTGTGGAGTTGTGATTGTCATTAAGCTGGGTGGTGTGTGGAATTGTGATTGTCATTAAGCTGGGTGGTGTATGGAGCTGTGATTGTCATTAAGCTGGGTGGTGTGTGGAGTTGTGATTGTCATTAGGCTATGTGGTGTGTGGAGTTGTGATTGTCATTAAGCTGGGTGGTGTGTGGAGTTGTGATTGTCATTAGGCTATGTGGTGTGTGGAGTTGTGATTGTCATTAAGCTGGGTGGTGTGTGGAGCTGTGATTGTCATTAAGCTGGGTGGTGTATGGAGCTGTGATTGTCATTAAGCTGGGTGGTGTGTGGAGTTGTGATTGTCATTAGGCTATGTGGTGTGTGGAGATGTGATTGTCATTAAGCTGGGTGGTGTGTGGAGCTGTGATTGTCATCAGGCTGGGGAGGGAGGGGATTTGAGGGAGGCAGTAAAACTGATCAGGTCAGTTTACCATCGATATGTTCCTTGGGTACAAAACAATAGATCAAGTTGTACCCAGATTTCCATTGCTGTATCAGGTTGTACACAGACCATAACTAAGCATACCCTGATTTTGATTTCGTCAAAAAAGGACTTGATAGTAGGTCCAAGCATGTAGCTGTTGATTACATGATTGTGGCAACATCTACGTCATTGAATATCACAAGATTTCCAAAATAGGTAATCACTCACACACTGTAGTCTAGGTACAAAACGATAAGGCAACGGAAATCAGGGTATGACTTGTGTATTATTTTGTACCCTGTGTACAGTTTGATTTACTGATCGAGAATGATCCTATCCGTCAACCTGAGGCATCCCTTCAGTCAGGAAAGTACCCTCTGATATATGACTTGTCCCACACTTAATTATCTCATCGTCCTTAAGTACATTATCTCATCCTGAAGTACATTATCTCATCCTGAAGTACATTATCTCATCCTGAAGCACATTATCACATCCTGAAGCACATTATCACATCCTGAAGTACATTATCTCATCCTGAAGTACATTATCTCATCCTGAAGTACATAATCTCATCCTGAAGTACATAATCTCATCCTGAAGTACATTATCTCATCCTGAAGTACATTATCTCATCCTGAAGTACATTATCTCATCCTGAAGTACATAGTTTATCAACCCTCTCTGAGGATATAATTGCTACCCTCTGTGAGGATACTATCTCTGTGAGGATACTTTCTAAGGAATATCATCCCTGCTCTTCCTAAGTATATTATCAAACATCTGAGGATTTTATCTCAAATCTCTCCAATCATATCAATTCAAACTTCTCTCAGCATATCATCTCAACCCCTAAAGTTGTCTCATTACTCTTTAAGAACGGTATTCAGTTTTATCAAATTGTAAACATATTTCTTGTTGAACTTAAGTTCCATATTACATGTATATGTAACTATTCGACATCCATGTTCACAGTCGGCGCTTACTGTTTACTTGCAGGAGGATGTACAAGATAATCATATTAAATGTATTTGTAACTATTCGACATCCATGTACACAGTCGGCGCTTACTGTTTACTTGCAGGAGGATGTACAAGATAATCATATTAAATGTATTTGTAACTATTTGACATCCATGTACACAGTCGGCGCTTACTGTTTACTCGCAGGAGGATGTACAAGATAATCATATCACATGTATTTGTAACTATTTGACATCCATGTACACAGTCGGCGCTTACCGTTTACTCGCAGGAGGATGTACAAGATAATCATATCACATGTATTTGTAACTATTTGACATCCATGTTCACAGTTGGCGCTTACCGTTTACTCGCAGGAGGATGTGCCAGATAATCATATCACATGTATTTGTAACTATTTGACATCCATGTACATAGTCGGCGCTTACCGTTTACTCGCAGGAGGATGTGCCAGATAATCTTCTTCCTGCTGCTCACCTGGCACTCATACACCCCGGAATCTTCCGGCACCACATTCTTTATGATCAGGTTCCATTCCCCTTTTTCTTTAAGTTGTTGGAGGGAATATCGTGGATTTCCAACATAAACTTGTTCCCCTATTGTCACAGGGTTTGGATCCGATGCCCTTCTCCATATTACCTGAAATGTATATACAGTCAAGTCTCGTTAATCCAACACTCGTTAATCCGACAATTGGCTTTATCCGACACTAATGATGGGAACCGATTAAATCAGTGCTATTTAGACCTGTTTATCTGACAGTATCGCACTCCGACTCTGACACACCTAATCTCTAACAAATTGCTGAAATCACTCATTAATCAGTCTCGTTAATCCGACACAGTCATCAGCGTACTCTGTGGTCATCTGCCTGCGAGTACACAGCCCGTGTTTTGATGCGAGACGAGTCTGCTGGCAGGTGCAGGGATAAACTTACTTAACAATAAACAATAATGCTTTAAATAAAGAACACAGGATTACTCACATGCTTAGATTACCTCAATCTCATTAAATCAGATACAAGTTGTCGCTATTGCAAAGGACATCCTATTACAGGTCACGTCAGCACAACCTTTCGCGAACTATGACCTACCGACCAAGTTAACAGTCGCCACTAAGAAAGCTGTTTTCTTTAGCTTTGCGGTACCAGTTTCAAACTGGCGGCTTCCATTCTAGGCTATGTTTTTTAAAGTATTTTGAATGTCATAAAGTCTGTAACAGTTGTTTTGTGTAAAGCTTTAGAGGTTGCATGATTAGAAAACATATTCCGTTAACAATGTAACATAACAATATGAGTTTCAATATTTCATTTTTCATTTTTTTATTACAAGTTTGTATCGTTATCTATCATATAGTTGTCTGATTTTTGATCAGGAACGTTTATACTTCTTAATTTCGTATTTCATACTTGTTAATCCGACATAATCATATTCAACCAACCATGTCAGATTAACGGGACTTCACTGTAATTGTCCCATAAGTTTCACTTGGTAGATTTATTAGGGGTGAGGGGCTCAGGTGGCCCTGTCATTTAAGGGGCTGCATTCGCTCTGCAGAGTTGCATCCCTTAGGCGTGCCAAATAACTTTGATTATCGGTTTGAATCCCACAATTGCCCTGATTATGTTACAAGGTTTGCCTACGCCATGCTCGTACCAGTTGGTTTCACCAATGTGATGAACATCTAAGACCTATGAGGGCATGAGCTGCTCAGTAATCCAAGACGCTGCAATTCACTATGCAGAGTTGCATCCCTTGGGCATGCCAGGAATCTATGATTGTGGGTTAGAATTCTGGTTGCCCCCGATTATGTTTCTAGGTTTGTCAGCACCATACCCGTGCTCGTGGGTTTCACCAAAGTGGTATATGGCTGAGACGTGCATCACATCGGGCTTTCCTCCTACATTACGCTGACACACCATGATATAACTGGAATTCTGTTCAAAGCGGAGTTAAACACAACCCACTTACTCATTGGCCTGCATCACTTGTGCTTTCTTAGTGGTGTTCAAAGTGAGTAAACCTAAATCACGCACACACTCGTTTAGTAGAGGCCATTAATATTCGTTCAGTCATGGGTTAAAATTAAGTATGCAGAGTTGCCTCCCTTTTTAATTCCAGGATCAGCTGTTTATGGCCCATGGTTTCACTAAGTAGTAAACATCTGCATGATCCACAACCTGCATCACTTCTCAGCTCTCCTCCCGATGCAGAATATCACTTAAAAACTGCTCAAAGTTTCATGAAAATGCCAGCTCACCTATCCCCTCCTTCATGTTACATGTATTGTTGGATCCATATTAAAAGGTTTCAAAACATGATTTGCATGTAATTATTGTGAGCCCACATGTCTTAGTAAAAGATGATATGCAATTGCATTATCAATTCTTGTTGCGGTATCAATTCATGTCATACATCTTTGTGTATTTGATACATGTAGTCTTGTGTTGTCTTCTCATTGGAGACAATATGCTGCAGAATTAAAGTAATTTTGCCCTTCTCTCAAACATATATCATTCATGTTGTCTCATCATAAGCGTTGCATTCTCAATCATGGGAAGGAAGTGTCATTGTTCTGATGGCGTCCAAGAGACATGGAGAAGACGTTTTTGTTTCTGAAGTTTTAGTGGCATTTATCTAGACGACATGAATTCACTATAAAAATATCACCATATGTAACTAAAAAGTTCATATGATTTGCATTTGTGTAGCTTTTCTTGCAGAACATCAAGCAAGTTGTCTGGTTTGAAACATAACTTGACCCAAGCAAAACATTGGGGTGTGGCAATGGTATTATCATGGCGTATTGTTGTGTCTATTTGGGTTGGGAATTATTACATGGGTTTCTTATCAAGAATGTTGAACATATTGCAAGTTAACTCTAACATAATTAATCATATCATTATTTCAAGTGAGTGAGTGAGTATGGTTTTATGCCGGTTTTAGCAATATTCCAGTAATATCACGGCGGGGGACACCAGAAATAGGCTGCACACGTTGTACCCATGTCGGGAATAGAACCCGGGTCTTCGGCGTGACGAGCGAACGCTTTAACCACTAGGCTACCCGACTGCCCCTATTTCAAGTAAAAGATACGTCTATATTTCTAGTATTAAGAAGGAAAAAACATTTGGTTGAAACATTCTTGGCAAAAAAGAATAACACAATGAAATCTTTTCTTTGTAAATGGCCTATGTGACCTTCTTTGTTCAAACTTAATGGGTTTCAAGAAGTATCTTAAAAATGATGACCTTCAATATTTATTATAACAGCTTGGTATATCCTTTGATTTCTTAACAATAATATGTAGTTTTATATAATGCAATTCACCCTGTAATTACAACATGATATATCTATCCATTGACATGTATAAAAACATGTAAAAAAAATGAAATTAGCCAGATTGAACCAAATATGGCACTGTTAAATATTCTTCTCCATGTTTATCCCCAATGAGATGAACATTGGATGATATTATTTCATAGTTCTTCACAATGAATATGTGATGTGACTGACTTCCAGTCACTTAGAGGGGGCGGTGGGATAGCCGAGTGGTTAAAACTTTTGCTCGTTTCCCCTAAAACCCAGGTTCGATTCCCCACATGGGTACAATGTGTGAAGCCCATGTCTGGTGACCCCCACCATGATTTTGCTGGAACATTGCGAATATATTTGGAGGACATGAGCGAGTGAGTTTGGTTTTATGCTGCTTTTAAAAATGTTCCACTAATCTCATGATGGGGGAGCACATGATGAAATGTTAATTAACCAGTCAGTGTGGAATGCACAGGTGCAAATATTAAAAGTGTGTAATTTAACAATTGGTTGAATGATGTTGATCAATGTCTGTGTGTAATGTAACAATTGGTTGAATGAGGTTGAACAATTTCTATGATGTAACAATTGGTTGAATGATTTGGTCAATGTCTGTGTGCAGTGTTCTAATTGGTTGAATGATGTTGATCAATGTTAGTGTGCAGTGTAACAGTTGGTTGAATGCTGTTGATCAATGTCAGTGATGTAACAATTGGTTGAATGAGGTTGATCAATTTCCATGATGTAACAGTTGGTTGAATGATGTTGATCAATGTCTGTGTGTAAGGTAACAATTGGTTGAATGAGGTTGATCAATTTCCATGATGTAACAATTGGTTGAATGATGTTGATCAATGTCTGTGATGTAACAATTGGTTGAATAATGTTGGTCAATGCCTGTGATGCTACAATTGGTTGAATGATGTTGATCAATGTTAGTGTGCAGTGTAACAGTTGGTTGAATGCTGTTGATCAATGTCTGTGATGTAACAATTGGTTGAATGAGGTTGATCAATGTCTGTGATGTTACAATTGGTTGAATAATGTTGATCAATGCCTGTGATGCTACAATTGGTTGAATGATGTTGATCAATGTCAGTGATGCTACAATTGGTTGAATAATGTTGATCAATGCCTGTGATGCTACAATTGGTTGAATGCTGTTGATCAATGTCAGTAAGCAGTGTAACAATTTGTGTTTATATGTCTGGTGCCTGGAAACATGGCTTGGTGCATCATGGGGATGTCACCAATGGTATTGCATTCCGATGTGAAGAGTCTAGGGCTGGGACGAATCCAAATTTACTACCCAGGCACCCATCCCCCTACCCGGATACCCATCCCCCTACCCAGGTACCCATCCCCCTACCCGGATACCCACTGTAGGTCTCAAGAGATAGGTACAAATTGTCAGATTGGGAATACTTTGACAGTAGCCCTGGTAAAATGTATTTAGATACACACATAAACCAATCTGGTCATGCTTGCATTGAAGTTGACTGAAGTTTTATCTTCATTCAAACAGATGAAAGTCAGAAGGAATGCGTGCATAGTCAGAAATAAATGTGAACATAAATGACTTATAGTGTAACCATGGAATTCTAGATTAGTTTTGCCTAAACAATATATCACATGACTAACCAGGGGTCCGGCTAGTTCCTCCTCCCACCCGACCCGAGTACCCGAGTTACCCATCACAGCCCTAGAAGAGTCTGTGAAGAATGACATTGCTTAACAATGATAGCAGTGTCATGACAGTGATGAATGGCTGCTTGACATGTGTTAGGTTTGATGTCACAGTGGAGAATGATATTACATTGTGATCTCACAATGTAGAATGAGAATGTGTGACATATCATTGTTTTGTCACAGTAGAGAATAACATTGTGTGACAAATCACCATCACCAACTCACATGCAGTATCAATACTTCACATCCTTCTCACTTGTGTTTTGAATAATCCTGAATGAGGTACTCCTCGTTTTATGATCATCTAGAATGAAATGATTCAGTGAGGCATGATATACATCCTGCCTGTCAGTGAGATATTGATCAGGCCTAAAGTTAACGCCTATATTTCTTAATCGAGGTAACCTTAATTTGTTCCAGTCTTGAGACAAATGCTGAACACCGTTATTCTGCAAGTAAATGTGCTGTCATTTGTCATGGATGACTGCACTGACTCCACATTTCCTTGATTGGTAGTGCAGTCTTCGAAGACACAACACTGACTAGCCAGTTTTCAGCCTTCAGGCTTCCAATGTTGTTGCAACAATCTTCATAAGGCCACGTTTTTAATTTTTTGTTTTTTGTTTGACATCTTAT